TAGCTGCAGAAAGCAACCAACAAGCAGGTGTTTTTTCCAAGAGTNTTTTTTTTTTTTTTTTTGTCGAAACAGGGTTTTTCTGTGTAACCCCAGATCAGGGGTTCCTGTTCTGGAACTAGCTCTTGTAAACCAGGTTGGCCTCAAATTCATAAAGATCCGCCTGCCTCTGCCTCTGTCTTCCTGGGATTAAAGGTGTGCGCCGCCATCACTGGCTGGTCCAGGAGTTGGTTTTTAAAGGGAAGTTGGGGTGGGAGGGGGGCTGGGAGAGTCTGTGCTAGGGTGAGTTGTTAAGTCCTGATTGGACATACTAGCCAAATAATGAATTTTGATTGCTAGATCCTTGGTTTGTTTGTTTGCTTGCTTGTTTTATGGTTTTTTTTTTGTTGTTGTTGTTGTTGTTCTTGTTTTGTTCTCCAAGACAGGGTTTTTCTGTGTAACTGTGGAGCTTGTCCTGGAACTAGCTCTGTAAACCAGGAACTCACAGAGATCCTCCTGCCTCTTCCTCTCAAGTGCTGGGATTAAAGAAAGGCGTGCTCCACAACTGCCCAGCTGATTGATTGCTGGATTTTGATGTTTTGTCTCAGGAATGAGTTAGTGGCCAAAAAGGGAATGAATTTTGGAAGTTAGCTTTAGGACTGTAAACTAACGGTTTTAGCAAGGGGGAGAAGGATAACAGGCAAACCCTGTTGGGTGCCATGTTTGCTATGCTGAGGCTTGGTAGAACTCTTCAGTCTGTCTCTAATGCTTAGTCATCAAGAATACATTGATGAGGGCCTAAGAATGGCTGCATGGATAAAGTATTTGCATAAAAATAAGCCCAGCATGGTGGTGGTCATTTGTTTCCCCCGGGAAGGGGAAACAAGTATTCCTAGGGTTCCCTTTGTCAAATTCTGGAACAATGCGGTTCTGTCTCAAAGGTGGTGGGTGGATTTCCTGAGGATGACACCTGAGATTGCCCCCACCCCCACAGAAAGAGAAAGGGAGAGACAGAGAGAAAACAAATTTAGGAAATTTAGGAAAAGAATACATTAGGAGGCTGGAGAGATGGCTCAGTGGTTAGGAACATTGGCTGTTCTTCAGAGGACCAGAATTCAATCCTCAGCATCCACAAGGCGGCTCACAATTGTAACTCCCAGGAGCTGACACTCTTGGCAACCAGGGACCACAGGCACCTATGTGGTGCTCAGACATACATACAAGCAAAACACTCGTACATGTAAAATTTTTATTTTTAAAGGATACAATGGACTGGGGTGACGGCTGTTAGTATTGATGGATACAGTGGACTGGGGTGACGGACATTAGCATTGATGGATACAGTGGACTGGGGTGACGGCTGTTAATATTGATGGATACAGTGGACGGGGGTGACGGCCGTTAGCATTGATGGATACAGTGGACTGGGTTGACGGCTGTTAATATTGATGGATACAGTGGACTGTGGTGACGACTGTTAGTAAATTGCTTGCTTGCACCGAAAGCATGAGAAGCCAGATGAGGCCCTGTAGTTCGGTGAGACTGCTCAGTAGTTAAAGGAACTTGCTACACTATCCCTGATAACCTGAGTTTGATCTCTGGGACATTTGTGGAAGGAACGAACTACAAGTTTTGTGACTTCCAGAAGTACACTCTCAACAACACACACACACACAACTGTTTTAGGTTGGGTGTGGTAGTGCACACCTTTAATCCCAGCAGTAGGGAGGCAGAGGCCAGCCTGGTCTGCCTACTGAGTTCCAGGCCAGCCAAAGTCACATAGTATGACCCTCTCAAAAACCAAGGTAGAGGGTTTGTGAGATGGTACAGTGTGTAAAGTCATTTTGCAAGCACGAGGAGGCCCTGATTTTGGATCCTCTGCACCCACATACAAGCCTGGCATGGCACTGTGCTTCTGTAACCTCAGGGGTTGGGGACCTTGACTGGCAGATTCCAGGCCTGCTAGCTGGCCATTTTAGCCAAAGCAGCAAGGTCCTAGTTCTGTGAGTTCTGTCTCAAAAAATAAAGTAGACTGAAGGGCAGTCAGGGTTCCCTGCCCTGTGGAAAGTCCAAAGTCCTCCCCACTCCATCCTGGTCTAGGAAGGTGAACATCCAAACTGGCTAGGCTCCCACAAAGCCAGAGCATGAAGTAGGATCAAAACCCAGTGCCATTGTCCTTGGCTTCTCAGCAGCCCTCATTGTCCGCCATATTCAGAGAGTCCGGTTTTATCCCATGCTTTTTCAGTCGCAGTCCAGCTGGCCTTGGTGAGCTCACAATAGATCAGCCCCACTGTCTCCGTGGGTGGGTGCACCCCTCATGGTCCTGACTTCTTTGCTCATATTTTCCCTCCTTCTGCTCCGAGACGGGGAGGGAAATGGGAGGCGGGGAGGAGGCGGAAATTTTTTTTTCAATAAAAAATTATATTAAAAAAAAAAGTAGATGGTGCCTGAAAAAAAAAAATAAAGTAGAAACTGGGTGTAATGGCTCATGCCTTAAATCCCAGCCCTTGAGAGGCAGAGGCAGGTGGAGCTCTGTGCATTTGAAGCCAATCTGATCTTGAGTGCCAGGATAGCCAGAGCTACATGTGAGACACTATCTATAATAATAATAATAAAAAGAAGTGATTGAGGAAGACATTTTAATGTCTGTATTTGGTATGTGTGCTTGCCAGGCCAGCACACATGCATACCTGCATATAACACACACAAAGGTGTGGCCTCTACATGTGTGCACCCACATTACACACCCATATACATGTCCTCACGTAGTACACACGCACACACACACACACACACACACACACACAATATTGCTATAGGGGCTGGAGAGATGGCTCCACAGTTAAGAGCAGAAGACCCAGGTTCAATTCCCAGCATCCACATGACAGCTCACTACTGTCTGTAACTCCAGGTCCTCACACAGATCTGAAATCCTCATAAAGACATACACGCAGGCAAAACACCAATACACATAAAATAATCTTTTTTGTTGTTGTTTTGTTTTTGATGCAGGGTTTCTCTGTGTAACAACCCTAGCTTTCCTGGAACTTGCTCTGTAGACCAGGCTGGCCTTAAACTCAAGAGATCCTCCTGCCTCTGCCTTCCGAGTGCTGGGATTAAAGAGCATGTGCCACCACTGCCCAGCTAAAATAATAAATTTATATATATATATGTACATATACATATATATTGCTTTAGTTTGCTGCTATGTTTTCTAGAATTATTTTTTAGGTGGGGGTCTCATTTAGCCCAGTCTGGCCTTTAACTTGCTGTGCAGCTGAGGCTGGCCTTGAACTCTTGATTCTCTAGTTTCCATTTCCCAAGTACTGGGATTACAAGCATCCAACACCACGCATTGTTAAAAACTGAGATTTTTTTTTCTCTTTTTTTGTCTAGCAACCCTCTAGCCTTTAGCTCCTTGAGAAGAGGGTATTGTAGGTTTGTATCTTTTTTTAATAATTTATTTTTTATTTTATGTACATTGCTGTTTTTCCTACAGATATGTCTGTATGAGGGCACTGGATTCCCTAGAACAAGAGTTAAACAGTTGTGAGCTGCTCTGTGGGTGCTGGGACTTGAACATGTATCTTCTGGAAGAGCAGTCAGTGCTCTTAACTGCTGAGCCATCTCTTCAACACATTTGTTTCTTTTTAATGTATGAATAAGTATGGTTGGCAGATATTTATTTTTGACTATATCAAATATCAATGCAAAGAACAGGAGGGTGGTGGTACATGCTTTTAATCGTAGCCAGCACTCAGGAGGCAGAGGCAGGTAGATCTCTGTGAGTTCGAGGCCAGCCTGGTCTATAGATGGAGTTCCAGGACAGTCAGGGCTGTTACACAGAGAAACCCTATCTCAGGAAAAAAAAAAAAAAAAAAGGTATGTACTGCTTTTCCAGATGGACTGGAGTTGGGTTCCCAGCACCCACTTTGGGCATCTCCCAACTGCCTGTAGCTCCTCCTTCCTGCATCCCCATCCCATTCATACACTAATTAAAAATAAATCTAAAAAAACAGGCATTTCTCATTCTGAAATAACTTGACACCTCATTGTGCTCCATTTACTTCTTTGGACACAACACCCATTGAGCATTAAGATAATGTGTTTAGCATTTCAAACTTAGGAAACTGAAAAATACTTATTTATTTTGTGGCTGCTAGGGATGAGACTCAGGACCTTGCATGTGTTAGGCAAGCACTTTATAACCAAACAACGTTACTAGTATCAACTTTATTTTTGTTCTGTAGCCCAAGCTTGTTTAGAACTTGAATCCTCCTGCCTCAGCCTGTGTGTGCTAGGGTTATACATCTGGACCACCTTGCCTGGCTCTTTCCCAAGATTTGTTTCAAGGGGTAACTTTAAGAATGGAGGATGAACTCAGCCCAATTTACTGGTCTGGAAACTTTCTTAGCCCTAAGGCAGATAAAACAATACTGAGTTCCAAACCTATAACTACCACTTGCTCACAGATTGGCCTATACAATGGATTAGTGATGTTGAAAGCTGGCTGGTCTTAAAGTAGAAATTACAGCTCAGAGAGGACGATGAAAGCAAGGGTTCCTCAGTCACTGATTGTGCCTCCCAAGAGCCTCACCTGTTATTCCTCCAAAAAATGTTTGCTAATTTTTAATTTTGTCAGTTGTGTGTGGTGTGCCTGTGTTTGCTTCTTCTCATGTGTCTGAACACGTGTGGGAGTGTATGTATGTGCCTATGCATGCAGTGGCCTGGGTTTGATATTAGCAGGCTTTGTTTGAGGTAGAGTCTCTCAGCTGAACCTAGAGCTCCCAGACACTGGCTCATCTAACTAGCCAGCTGCTTCCTGGGACCCCCCCACCTCCTCCCACCTCTTACAAGTGAGGCTGCCAACACCCAGAATTTACCTGGGTTCAGGGGAGCCAAACTCTGGTTTTCGTGTTTTTGTGGCAAATAATTTATTTGCTAAGTCATGTCCCCTGCTCCCCCCCTTTTTTAAACCCAATAGCCTATCATCCTCTTGATCTCCTCCACTTATTTATTTATTTATTTATTTATTTTTGAGACAGGGTTTCTCTGTGGCTTTGGAGCCTGTCCTGGAACTAGCTCTGTAGACCAGGCTGTTCTCGAACTCACAGAGATCCGCCTGCCTCTGCTGGGAGTGCTGGGATTAAAGGCGTGCGCCACCACCGCCCAGCTCTCCTCCACTTATTATCATAATGTTTATATATGGGTGGAGACTTCTCTATTCTCTGGCCAATTATAAATTCACAATAGAACTTAATAGTATTCTTCATCTCAGTGTAAAAGATACCCTTTATCACACAGGGGAAATCGTCTTTGATATAAAAGGCAATGAAAGAGGGCTGGAGAGATGGCTCAGCAGTTAAGAGCATCGCCTGCTCTTCCAAAGGTCCTGAGTTCAATTCCCAGCAACCACATGGTGGCTCACAACCATCTGTAATGAGGTCTAGTGCCCTCTTCTGGCCTGCAGGCATACACACAGGGAGAACATTGTATACATAATAAATAAATATTAAAAAAATTCTTTAAAAAAAAAGGCAATGAAAGAGATTGTTTATAAGAGAAAACCTTTCAGAGTTTATATTACTCATTATGCTGTTATTTTTGTTTTTGATTTTTCAAGACAGGTTTCTCTGTACAGCCCTGGCTGTCCTGGAACTCACTCTGTACACCAGGTTGCCCTCAAACTCATAGAAATCTACCTGCCTCTGCTTCTTGATTAAAGGTGTGCACCACCACTACCCGGTGTGCTGTTATTTTTGAAACAGGCTGATACTGAGGTCATTTTTTTTTTTTTTACCAGTTAAGCATTCTCCATGTTCTGTGCAGGACATATTCATTATCTAGTGGGAGGCTAAACCTTTGGAAGTTTTGAAACTGTTAATGGAATACATATGAATATGTTTGCAATGTACAGCATTTGCCTTTTCTTTTCAAGAATGTGCGTCACTCCAGTTTTCAGTCTTAAGCATTGCATTTTATGAAGGAGAAGGAGAGAGGGCAAAGAAATGTCGTATTCCTTTCTTATTGACTAATCAGATTCTTAGCAGCTGCCTCTTGGACTTTTGTTTTTTACAAGGGAATTACTTTTCTACCCACTAATTGCTTGACTGATTGTAGATATTCTACCCATACTAAAGAGAAGCACACTGGGTCAAAAATCACTTTTCTAATTTAGCTATTTGCTCCAGGGCAATATGAGCCCTAAACTGTAGCCGGGCTTCCATGGAATAGTCTTTATAGTTCTTTATGTAGTCTAGGTTTTTTGTTGCATTGGCATAATCTCCTTTCAGATAATGGAGCATTCCCAGTTCATAGTAGCTATATGGCACCAAATATCGGTCATATTTTAACATTTTCTCCTGCCTAATAACACGAATAAAGTAGTGCTCAGCCTTCAAATGTTTGCCCAGGTGTTTCAGGCAGAGACCTTTCAGCAGATTTAACAAGCTCATGTCATCTATGCCATACTCCTCATTTGGATTTTCATTCAAAAGGTCTTTTCCTCTGTCAATTATTGAGAGCCAACTTGAAATAAGCTCTATTTTCTTGCTCATGACTCGGAAGCCACTCCAGGCATACATGAATTCCAGGAGAGGCTGTGCTGTAAACCAGCCTGTTGTAGTGCCATAGCGCTGGCTTTTCTCAGCAATGAACTTCTCTATTGGCACAGAGGAGCCTAAAAACTTGATTCTCAGGCTATCCACGTGTAAGAAGACAGTGCTCATGCTCTCGTCTGAGTTCACAGAATTAGGAGGAAGCAAGGCCATTATTATAGCCTTGCTGTACGTGTATATTGCCTTAGACCACCTGCTGTGTTGAGACAGTAGATTGGCATAGTTGTATGCCTGCTTCCAGTTCTGCAGAAAAATATGGCACCACATAAGTTCCCAGTAACAGAGGTGATGAACCTGCTTCCATTCATTCTGAGTAATAATGCACTCTTGTAACTTTAACTGCGCAGTTTCAAAATTTCCATTTAGCATGCTAAAACGTGCACGAAAAAATTTAAGTACAACACAATTGGGAAATTTCTGCAGGTAGATTAGGAAGAGACTCTCTGTAGCAGAAGTGGAAGCCTTTTCGACACCAACAACTACACGTACGTAATTGTAATAAAAGAGGAGAGTGAAAACACTTAAGATGTTGTTTATGTGAGGTTCAGATGCACTCTCGTGAAGCAGGGCCAGACCGACTTCTCTATCGCCAGAATAGCCCACAATATTGAGAAGCTTAAGTGATCTTGGTGGCACAAGTGAGAACATCAGATTGAAGACTCCAAGTCCAAACTTTACCCCTCCATCCAGGTGTCTGTGGGTTTTACTTTGGTTTTCCGGCATAAGTTCTAAGACCTGCTGGCAGTCTTTGTATATTTGGTAGCTTGTCCCAACGCTGATGCCGCTTTTAAGGAAATTCAGCAAACTGTCATCTTGTATAAATGTTATGGCAGACTTCAAGATCAGACACTCGGCATAACAGACTTCTGCATGTAGTTCCTCCTCTTTGATGGACTTTATTCCCTGTCTACTCACGAGGCGAGATAAAGTCATTATCCTGGGTTTTTTTCGGAAATTGTTGCAGGTTTTCAAAGCCTCCTTTGCAGCATTCATTCCAATCTGAATGTCCTGTGGCTCGAAAGTCAGAATGGCCTTGACAATCATAAGCATGCTGTAGATCAGGGCGTGGTACGGGCTGTTTTTTGACCATGGGTGAATAAGATTGATTGCGTCAGAGAATCTGTTATTTAGAAACAAGTACAACCCAGTTGTACATTCTTCCAAGGATGATAGGAGATTCATTGTTGTTGCCACAGGGATAATTTCATGGGCATCCTCAAACTTGTCCTCTGTTTCACTTTCTATTAGACTGAGTGTCTTAGTTACTCTGGCCATCCTATCACTTTCCCTTTCTCTTAGACTAAGGGACATATTTAGCATGTTCTCATCATTGTCCTCATTTCTTAGGAACCGTGACATATTTGCTTCCTCGATTAGAGGCAGGAATATCTGAAGTGAACTTGCAATGATAGTAGCTGCTGCACTCCTGACCAGGGGCTCTTCTTCCACACAAAGCTCAGTCTCAAGTTGCTGTTAAAATGGAGGCAAATGTAAGACTAGCTGTGAGATGCAGCATTAGGGCATTCTCTATCTAAGTCAGGCAGGGGGAGGATCACTTTATGTACCCAGAGGATGCATTTCTGAAAAGTTCATCTAGAATCTACTAAAGAAAACTAACCACTAAAAAGTAAACGGCTGGGCGGTGGTGCACACGCCATTAATCCCAGCCCTCCGGAGGCAGAGGCAGGCAGATCTATGAGTTTAAGGTCAGCCTGGCCTACAGAGCTAGTTCCAGAATAGCCAGGGTTACACAGAGAAACCCTGTCTCTAAAAACCAAAACAAACAAGAACAAAGTAAACCCTTAGTAAGCAGTGGAGTTCTTCTGTCCCCAGTTAGCCATTGTACAAATTCCATAAACTCATGCTTCTGTGTATTCTGCTGTGATGGCTGCAAAATCTCTCATTAGGAGTCAAGACTCTGGTTAGAAAGGATACCTATATATTTCTCTCATTTGGATTAAGGAAGTTGTGTATTGTCTAGTCCAAAGCACAAAGATTATGGGGATGGAAAATCCCCCACACTATTTTTAGTACTGTGTGCAACTGTCACTGGCACTAGGCCTTTTGTTTGTTTGTTTGTTGTTTGTGAAGGGTGTTGAGACAGAATCTTTCTACTTAGCCCTGTCAGTCCTAGAACCCATTAGACCAGGCTGGCCTGAACTCACAGAAATGCACCTATCTCTGCCTTCCAAGCCCTGATTAAAGAAACGGCCCCCTTGGGGCTGGAGAGATGGCTCAGTGGCTAAAAGTACTATGTGCTCCTCCTAAGGTCCTGAGTTCAATTCCCAACAACCACATGGTGGCTCACAACCATCTGTACTGAGATCTGGTGTCTTCTTCTGGCCGGCAAGCATACATGCTAGCAGAACATTGCATGAATAATAAAGAAAGGAAGGATGGGAAGGAGGAAGGAAGGAAGGAAGGAAGGAAGGAAGGAAGGAAGGAAGGAAGGAAGGAAGGAAGGGAGGGAGGAAAAAAAAAAAAGGAATGGGACCTCATACCCAGCAAAGAAATGCAGCTTTTAGCAAGGAGGGAAAAATAATGTTGAGGAGTGCCATCTCAGAGGTTTTATTTTAGAGAAATGCTTGTTTTTACAACTTATGTTATAGCAGATATAATCAATAACTTTTGAAAAGCAAAGAACCACACACAACCCTGGAAGATGTGCTGTTCATGGGAAAGCCATCCAGTGCATTGAGAAAGAACATCTTTGGAGTGGCCATAGCCGTAGGTGGTGCTGAAAAGTTAGTGCAGTGGTAGAGTTCTTGCCTAACACGCATGAGGCCCCACGTTCTATACCCAATGCTTGCAAAAGCAAAAGATGGTACTAAAGATAAAACTGAGGACAGTGGCTCCATTGAGGGTTACCCAGAGGCACCAAGGTTGACAGCCAGATTCAGCCTAAGGACAAAGTTGCCTTTATCCTGGCCTTAACAAAACTTTCAAATGATATGCCATAGAATCTTATTCTCCACAGTTCAAATTTTGCTTGTTCTGAAACCTTACCCATTATATAGCATAACCCTCACAACACTGTTTGGGGACCCATACCTCTCACTGTGTTGCTATAGTTATTCATATATCTGCCTTTATATCCAACCTCAGAACTTCAAGGCGTGATTTGTTTTATTCAGCTTTTTTATCTCTGTGCTAGCACACTCCCACAAAGTAGGCATTATTTTTTGTTTGTTAATGTGAATGGAGATGTCCACACTAGTCCCAAATTATGTAGTAAAGGATTACCTTGAACTCCTGACCCTCCTGCCTCTGTCTCCCAAATTCTGGGAATATAGGTGTTTGCCATCATACCAGGCCCACACTTTTTTTTTTTTTTTGAGACAGGATCTTACTATCATTATGCAGCCCTGGATGATCTTGAATTTTCAGGCTGCCTCTAAACTCATAGAAATCTGCTTGCCTCTGTCTCCTGAATGCTGGGATTATCCTTAGATTTTTTTTTTTAGCTAAAATACATTTAAAATTTAAAAATGCATTCATTTATTCTCTCTCTCCCTTCCTCCCTCCCTATCTCTGTCTCCCTCTCTGTCTGTGTATGTGGTGTGTGGACATGCAATGACCCTTCTGTATTTACCTACCATATGCTGGGATATGGACACATGCACCACACTTGGCTAGTTATTAATTTATGGTGGAATGCAATCATTTCTAGGGACTACATTAGTATCAAAGGAAAGGCAATGGTGTTAAGCAGTGTTTTTCTAAGTGCAGTCAACAAGCAGTTACACATGAAGGTTCCAAAGGGGAAAAGGGGACTTTTTTTTTTTTTTTCAAGACAGGGTTTCTCTGCATAGCAGCCACCACTGCCCGGGTAGGAACTGCCCTATTTTAAACGATACACATTCACTCTTGGACTATCCCTAGCTACAAAAATGGTGCAAAATAAATTATTGAATCCTAAATCTAAAATAGCTTGAGCTGGGCAGTGGTGATGACACCTTTAATCCCAGCACTATGGAGGCAGAGACAGTCAGATCTCTGTGAATTCAAGGCCAGCCTGGTCTACAGAGTGAGTTCCAGGAAAGGCTCCAAAGCTACAGAAAACCCCTGGCTTGAAAAACAAAAAAACCCAAACAAACAAAAGAGTGAAATTAATGAGGCTTTATGGAATTGCTATTCCTTCGACGAGTATAAAAATCTATATAACTAGCCGGGCGGTGGTGGCGCATGCCTTTAATCCCAGCACTCGGGAGGCAGAGGCAGGTGGATCTCTGTGAGTTCGAGGCCAGCCTGGTCTACAAGAGCTAGTTCCAGGACAGGAACCAAAAGCTATGGAGAAACCTGTCTCGAAAATCAAAAAAAAAAAAAAATCTATATAACTATTGTTTAACGCTTTTCAGAAGAGAAGCAGATAAAAACAAAAACCAGGGACTGGGGATGTCGTTCAAGTTAGAAGAGTGTTTCTCAATTAATAAATGGGACCTCCTGAAACTGAAAAGCTTCTGTAAAGCAAAGGACATGGTCAACAAGACAAAATGACAGCCTACAGAATGGGAAAAGATCTTCACTAACCCCACATCAGACAGAGATCTGATCTCCAAAATATACAAAGAATATTGTATTCAAGAATTTGGTCATCAAAAGAACAAATAATCCAATAAAAAAAATGGAGTACAAACCTAAACAGAGAACACTCAACAGGGGAATCTAAAATGGCTGAAAGACACTTAAGGAAATGTTCAACATCCTTAGTCACCAGAGAAATGCAAATCAAAACTACTCTGAGATTCCATCTTATACCTGTAAGAATGGCCAAGATCAAAAACACTGATGACAATTTATGCTGGAGAGGTTGTGGGGAAAAGGGAACACTTCTGCATTGCTGATGGGAATGCAAACTGGTACAGCTCCTTTGGATGTCAGTGTGGTGATTTCTCAGAAAATTAGGAAACAACCTTCCTCAAGACCCAGTAATACCACTTTTGGGTATATATCCAAAGGATGCTCAATCATGCCACAAAGACATGTGCTCAACTATGTTCATAGCAGCATTGTTTGTCATAGCCAGAACCTGGAAACAACCTAAATGCCCCTCGACCAAAGATTGAATCAAGGAAAATGTGGCTAGGCAGTAGTGGCTCATGCCTTTAATCCCAGCACTTGGGAGGCAGAGGTAGGTGAATCTCTGTGAGTTTGAGGTCAACCTGGTCTACAAGAGCTAGTTCCATGGCAGGCTCCAAAGCTACAGAGAAACCCTGTCTTGAAAATCAAAAAAAAAAAAAGGAAAACGTGGTACATTTACACAATGGAGTACTACACAGCAGAAAAAAAAGACATCTTGAAATTTGCAGGCAAATGGATGGAGCTAGAAAACATCATTTTGAGTGAGGTAACCCAGATACAGAAAGACAAATATATGTACTCATAAGGGCTCATAAGTGAATTTTAAACATAAGGCAAAGAAAACCAGCCTACAAATCATAATCCCAGAGAACCTAGACAACAATGAGGACCCTAAGAGAGATATACATGGATCTAATCTACATGGGAAGTAGAAAAAGACAAGATCTCCTGAGTGAATTGGGAACATGGGGACCTTGGGAGAGGGTTGGAGGGGAGGGGAGGGGAGAGAAAGGGAGGGGAGCAGAGAGAAATGTAGAGCTCAATAAAAATAAATTAAAAAAAAGAAGAGTGTTTCTCTAGCATGCATACGGGCTCTGGGTTCTATATATAGTGAATCTGAGGCCAGCCTGGCTGCAGGAGACACTGTGGCAAACAGCAAGCACAAGTTAAGACTGAGGTGGAACAAATAAAATATACTGTATAGAATTTCTATTTTCTCACCATTTTGTTGTGACATGCTGATGTGAAATATTTGAAAATCAACATATCAGCATATATATAAGTTAGTAGCCTTAAGAGTCTCATGCTTTAGCCGGAGCCTGGTGGTACATTCCTCTAATTTCAGCACTTGGGAGGCAGAGGTAGGTGGATCTCTGAGTTTGAGGCTAGCCTGGTCTACAGAACAAGTTCCAGGACAGCCAAGGCTGTTACACAGTGAAACCCTGTCTCAAAAAAAAAAAAAGAAAAAGAAAAAGAAAAGAAAAAATCCTCAGGCTTTTTGACCAAGTAGGTTTCTTTTATCTGTACTCTGCACCTGCATCTATACATACCAAATGAAGACGAAAAAGATAAAAATACACATACCTAAAATTTTCCTTTTATGTTTAAAATTTCCAACTCTTGAGTATTTCAAGTACTTATGATGCAAAGTCTGTATTTTTTGGTGGTTGATAAAAAGAACTTAACTGTTTTTAGAGTTGGCTTCTGTCAAACACATTGTGTAAAATCAGAGGCAGATTTAAGCAATATAAAGATAAGAATTTCACAAATTTATATATATTGAGAGGCTGAGCGCTAAGGGTTTTTTTGTTTGTTTTTTGTTTTTCGAGACCGGGGTTCCCTGTGTAACAGTCCTAGAACTAGCTCTTGTAGACCAGGCTGGCCTAGAACTCACTGGGATTCACCTACCTCAACCTCCCGAGTGCTGGGATTAAAGGTGCCACCACCGCCCGGCCGAGCTCTAAGGTTTTAAATAAAAGCTCAAAGACAACCCCAAAAACCTCAAAAGCACTAGAAAAGAAAAATACTTTGTGCTTCAGATGCAAGGAATTTAAGAATTGTTGCGGGTCAGTATGCTTGCAAACTTTTAGTTTTGCCGCAATTTTAACATTACCCCCAGCTCTAACCCTTTGTTCAGGTTGCAGAACAAACTTGGCGACAAATTAGTGACTGACTTGGTTAAAGGGACTGCCAGTCGGCGCAAACGGGAGTCCCTGAGGGAAGTCACCCCCTTGGAGGCCTGGGACTCCACAATGATCTTTAGCAGAATGGCGGGGTAAGGGGCGTTTTCACTCTGGTCAGTCTAATTACCTCTGAAGAGACGCAAAGATCACCGAGCGGAAGACTAGGCCAGGTAACCCAAACCGAAAGGTGGCGACAGCGACATCAGCAGTTAAACATTAAAGACTTCCACAGAACGGTCTAATGCACCTGTACTACGGTCACTAACGCTGTCAGTTCCTAGGTTAAAATGAAGAGGTAGAAGGGTTGGGAGAAGGTAAGGAGGGCCCGTGGGGTTAAGGAAAGGGGAAGGGGAGGGGAGGGAGGAGGATGCCGCCCCGGAGGCCGCGGGTTTACCGGCAAGACTTTGCCGTTCCCATGGAAACGTATCCCTCCGCCCGCGACACGAGACGGCTCCTGATTCCCCCTCCGCCCCGCCTCTAGGCTGTTTCCACCCAGGTCCTTTGTGCCGCGCAGAACGTTGACACAGCGCATGCGCCGGAGGAAAAAAAAAAATCCCCGCCCGCCTCGTATATAAGCGCGAATCCGGCCTCTTCCTTGTAGAGCCGCCGGGAGTGTCGAGGAGGAGAGTCGTGCTGCCGCGTCCGTGCTACTCGAGCTGCGGGCACTGCGAGCGAGAGCCGAGTGCGCGGACCGGCCATCATGTCACGCTACGGGCGGTATGGAGGAGGTGAGCGGCTGGGGCCCAGGGGAGGACGCTGCTGGTCGCGGCCCGAGCGGAGCGAGGCCGTGGGGTCGGCGCGGCAGTTGGAGACGGTTATTCCGCGTGCGTAATGGCGGCTTCGGCGCACGCCGTCCGAAGCCGGAGGCCGCGGGGGCGGGGTGTGGGAAGGCGAGCGGGGCCGGGGGCCCATGTGCGCCATGGGGCTCGGGCCCCGGGGCGTTTCGGCCTCCGGGCCGGGCCGAAAGCCGGTGGGACGGTCGCCGCTGCGGTGTCCCCCTTCTCCGCACTGCCGCCCGCCTCCGCTCCCCCACCCCCCGCCCTCGGCCGCCGCGGCTGCCATTTTGAGCACATTGACGACCGTGGTGTGGCGCATTTCCTCAGCGCTTTCCCGCCACTGGAGCGGGGAGGTCCGGGGCTGAACTGGAGTCGGGGCGAAGGCGGCAGCTGCGAGCTGCGCGTCGCCCCAGCAACTGGTTGAATTGAGGAGGGAGCGTGAGGGGAAAGGGCGGTCGTTGCGACCGATGACGGCTTTTTTTGTTGTTCTTTTTCTTTTTTTTCTTATTTTTTCTTTTTTTAGCCGTTTGGAGCTTCGGCCGCAGGGGCGGGGATTTGGGTGAGCCTGCGCTGCTGTGGAAGACGGGAACCGGTGCGGCCCTGCCCCGGGTAAACCTCTGCCTGGGCCGGGCCGCAGGAGCCGGCGGGCTCTAGCTCGCCCGGGGCTGCCGGGACCGAGAAGGGGCGGGGCCCAGCCACCCCACGCCTTACCTCCACCACTTTCCTTTGCAGACATTTTCCAAGGTTTCCAATCTTATAAGGACGCCAGAATTTGTTGACGAGTCAGACTTTATTATTTCACGGGGTTAAGGCTACAATTTAGGCATCGATGGAGATCCCCCCCCCCCAAAAAAAAAGGAGTGAGGGGCATGGTGGCGCACGCCTTTTAGTCCCAGCTGCACTTGAGCGATGTATAGATAAATATTTGGAGTGTGGCTCTGTTGTAGATCACTGACTGGCTCAGTCTCCTTGACTCCAAAACAAAACGTGCCGTTGCGCAGCTTAAGGATGGTCTGTTGTAAAGGAAGGAATTCCAGCTTAAGGTACACTTGGAATAACGTTTGCTTTATTTGCATTTTTAAACAGAAACCAAGGTGTATGTTGGTAACCTGGGAACTGGTGCTGGCAAAGGCGAGTTAGAAAGGGCATTCAGTTACTATGGGCCCTTAAGAACAGTGTGGATTGCCAGAAATCCTCCAGGATTTGCCTTTGTGGAATTTGAAGATCCTAGAGATGCAGAAGATGCAGTTCGAGGATTGGATGGGAAGTAAGTGGATTGTTATAGCATTTTCTTTAAAATATTCCTGTGGGCTAGATCGTAAGTAATCTTGGTGCTAATCATAGATTTCTCTGGTATGGAGACCTGCACCTGCGGTGGGGGCTTGGAGACTTGTATTTTGATAGTGTGTGTCTCCCAGCCTGTGCTGTTGCGTAGCATGGCATCCTCCTGCATCAGCCACTCCAGTACTGCCGTTACATGCACCTGATAATTATTTTTAAAGATTTGTTTATTTATTTAATGTGCACGTGTGTTTTGCTTATATATACTCTGAGGATGTTGGATCCCAGAACCGGAACTACAGTTGTGGGCTACCATGTGGGTGCTGGGAATTGAAACCGGTCCTTTGGAAGAGCAGCTAGTGCTCTTAACTGCTGAGCCATCTCCAGCCCCTGATAATTTTAAGATTAAAGATGAAAAGTGAAATTGGAAGTACTTTGTAAACAAAGACAAAGCTTGTAGGGAGAATGAGTAGTTGGTTGATAGAGTTCTTTTAAACTTAGAAGTCACCTGAATATTTTAACTTTAGTGCTTTCTTACTGTTTTGTAGGGTGATTTGTGGTTCTCGAGTGAGGGTTGAATTATCAACAGGCATGCCTCGGAGATCTCGTTTTGATAGGCCACCTGCAAGACGTCCCTTTGATCCTAATGATAGATGCTATGAGTGTGGTGAAAAGGGACATTATGCTTATGATTGTCATCGCTATAGCCGTCGAAGAAGAAGCAGGTATTTAATTAATAAAGGAGTGGTTGGTATTCTAGTTAATCAAAGTAATTCTTTTATTAGCAAGGCAGAAATTAGTGTTTTTCTATAAACTTGAATGTTAATTGTACAGGTGTATTTTACAGTTTTTTTGTTTAATTAAAATGCTAATATATTAATAATCAACCTGGTCAAAACCTTTCAGGTTTCTTCGTTTGAGTCAGTCGCCTTGATTCAGAATGTCACGAGCCTTATGATATCATGCTGAGGCGCCTTGCAAATCCGACAATTAAGATCCTCCTAGACCTTGAGGTGATCAGCATAAGAGGCCAGATCCCCTCGAGCCATCTACACCTAGCTTCACCTTATTCTTTAAAGGGCAGAAAATTTGAGTCGGTGATCGCCGTAACAGTAAATTTGGCTTACAATTGGGGCCCCCTCCGCTTTAGAAAGAGGAACACCAGATTGACCACATTCCCAACTAGAAAAATCTTCTTGCGTCAATCAAGCCTCACCTGGCTCTTTTGGCTGTCAGTTTGATCGTCGTTAGATTGAAGAAAACATCTAGATGCAGCGATCGGCTATAGATACTTCTAGATCGTCTAGATCTACTAGACCTACTACTAGACCATGGGCCAAAGAGGGTCGACCTGCAAACTTGCAAGGTTTATTTTAAATACGCATTATGGTGTTTTATATTTTGTAATTCTAAGTTGTAATTCAGCTTTTAACAAATCTTTTTTTAGGTAGTAAAAAAAAAAAGTTATAGGCCCAGAGTTTTTCCAAATGAGATGCTAAATTTTAAATAGTTTGAGATTTGATTTCAGCAGAGGTACACAAACACTAAAACCGAGTTATCATCTAATATTTTATATTTTTCTAACTTGAAAAATAGGTCACGGTCTAGATCACATTCCCGTTCCAGGGGAAGGCGATACTCTCGCTCACGCAGCAGGAGTCGGGGAAGGAGGTGAGAAATCTTGAAAAATTTAAGGGTTTGTTTTGGGTTTGGAGAGACAGGGTTTCTCTGTAGGAGCTCTGGCTATCCTGGAACTCTGTAGACCAGATTGGCTTCGAACTCTCTTTGCCTCCTGAATGCTGGGATTAAATAAATTTAAGTTTTAACAAGTAGGGGGAGAAGAGATGGACTTAAAACTTCTCTTAATTTTTAGGTCAAGATCAGCATCTCCTCGAAGATCAAGGTCTGTGTCTCTTCGTAGATCAAGATCAGCTTCACTCAGAAGATCTAGGTCTGGTTCTATAAAAGGATCGAGGTATTTCCAGTATGTAACACATTTTTCCTGCTTACTTGTAGATGGATTGTCACATCTTAGTGACACAATGAAGTATCTTAATTAAGTGAGATGCTTCAGAATATTTGAGGTGTAAAGGTTTTTATTAATTGTAGTGATGTACACCTGTAGTCCTAGAATTTAGACTGAGACCAGGATACTTGGGCCTGGGAATTTGAGGATAGGAGGGGAGCTAGTGAGGTTTACAACCCACCTCAGAACAGTGAATAATCTGGGTGGGCATGATGCTAGTTGGCTGAAGAAAATGGCTACAGAGCTTGCCATTAAGCCTGTTAACATGACTTTGATTCTCGAACTCACATAAAGGGAGGAGAGAACCAATTCCCACAAGTTGCTCTCTGAGTTCTGGAAGGTTATGGCATTCACCTACTCAAAACATACACTCAGTAAATGTAAGATTTAAAACAGTTTGGGAATGAATGCATTTGAGACCCTGGAAGATAGACAGGCTCTGTCTGCCTCTTGAGTGCTGGGATTAAAGGTGTAGGCCGCCATACCAGCTGAATAGGGGAAAACCTTACATTTGGGTGCAAATTTAATAAAAATTTTGCATTACAGATGAAAAAGCAGTTGTATATAAAAGCCACTGGCCTTTACTGTTGTTGAATACACAAAACCTTTAGATAATGGTAATTCTTGAGTTAACAATTTGAGAAAATTATTGTACCATTTCTAGATCAGTTTATAATATTTCAAGGTTTTTAAAAGATATATAGTCAACCTAAATTGTTTTAACAAATTAAGGTCCTTCAACCATGATAACAAGAATAAAAAGTCAAATCATAGCAATTTTCTCAGATGGAACCCCCAGTTAATTTGGTTATTAGTCTTTGAAAATGGGATTATTGTGCCTGTACCAGAAAGGAGTAGTGACCAATTGTGTATGACAAGTGGGAATTTGAAATGGTGGGTTTTGTTGTATTTGAAATTTCTCTGGTCATTTGTACTACATTGGATCAATGTATGTAAGTCAAGAGTCATGCAGCCAGTTGTCTTAGTTCTTCTGTCCTGTCTCTTCTACCTGGAAGGGTGCTCAGTTATAAAGGAATTCTTGTGTGATTGTGTCCCTTTTTCTTTTTATTAAGATCCCGTTCAAGGTCGAGATCAAGATCCAGGTCTATTTCACGGCCAAGAAGCAGGTAGGATATAAAACTGATTTTTAGTGTTCTTAATTATATATAGCACCAATATCCAAAGAGTTCAAAGTCTTGTAAATTATTGAAACTTGGGTGTTAGCCCAAAACTTGAATGTTAGGTAGAAATAACTACCTTATTGGTAGCCCAAATGAGAACTTTATTTATATATGGCCTATTACTTGGCTGATTCATGGAGAAGTTAATGTTATGTGACTTAACATTACTTTGGGAAATTAAGAGGCC